TTTCGACAATTCTCATAATTTTTGCAAAAGGCTGTATCAATCGGATACAAGCTAGACTATTAGTATTGGTCTATTACAAACWACTACTAACTATTRGACTTATAGTGTTTTCATGGTTKACGGAAAACCACTCTATGGATCTCTTCAATAGTACGATGACAATAATAATTATGATGACATTATTGGTGATTATGACAAAGACTTATGATAGCTTTGATAACAATTATTGTGATGAAGTCAATAAAAACAGATTGCTATAACACAAATTGTTATAAAGACAGCAGTTTAGCGGTAATAATAGTTTATTGTTTCTAGTGCTGCTTGGACGTAAAGTGTGTATATCATTCAGAGTTTTAAAAGGTAATAAAAAATGGCAGTGGGTTCGTGGTAGAGCATACTCMATCATCGCTAATGGTAAAGTTGAAGGAATGGTATCAAAGAATATTTTTTTGAGGTAAATTAGACTTGTSTCGTTTGTTTCTCCTTTGTCGTTAGCTTTAGTCCAATATGTCGTTGTCTTGTAGTGGTTTATATTGTTGTCTATGTGGCGTAAATAATATTTGTGTTTGTATTTCCAGTGAGGAGGAAGGCAAATACTTTAAAGAGCAAGACATGAAGGACATAATGGAATGGAAGACACAAAATGCTCTTATTTCTCCATCATCTCAAGACTTTGATTCACCAAACAGTGGCCCAATGAGTCCATGTAGCGAGAAAACGTTATTTCATCCTGTTCAAGTTGCACCTTTCCCAAGTATGTACTTTAAAATGTGCCTTTTCCCCCGAATGATATCCTATGTATAGGTCGAAATGATTCACAGACTGAACTTTGAGAAAATTTTGGTCTGTACACAGGCTACCCAATGACAGCCGTCTCTGTTCTCTTTAAAAGGCTATGCGGTACTTGTTGGGCACTTACAAGGAAATGCACTATCAAGTGTATGACCTGTAGTTTTGAATATATTTATAAAAGTGTAGTCGTTGAAAATCTCAAACATAGTTATGTACAAATGTGTACTTTTGGCCGGTACGATAAATCATGGTGGAGGGCACTTGAAAATATTCATTTAGTGACGATACCTAGTAATCCTCCTCACACTTCGATTCTTTTGATTAGTTCAGTTATCGCACGTGTAAGAAGGCTAAATGTAACATTTTGAGACTACATATATAGCAKCCCTCCTTCCTCGTACACAGGGATCCCAAGAGGGCCGCTAYTCAGGCTATTCTGATACAAAGTGCACAAACCTACCGTCCTCCTGATTCTAATGACTACAATGTATCGGCTCGTAAGAGTGGAGAGCCTTTACCTGATTTATTTATAAAGGAAATCCTTTATTATATACTGAATTTTCATTGATAGTTAAGCAATGTGGGATATTTAGAACGCTGTTATCATGTTACAAGCGAGTGTGCGCTCTAGAACCCGTGCCTGTTTCTATTTTATGTATTATTTGTTTGTATGTTTTTTCTCCATCTCTTTGACACTTAATTCTTTTCTTCGTTCTTTCATAAATTAGAATATTTTAATCAGTGACGTTAAACTCGTTTTGTTTTTTTTTTATAGCATGCGAGGTACCGTCACAAGCCAGCACAAGTACAACGCCGAGCAGCTTGACGAACGAACTTCCTCAAGACTGTCCTCTAACCTTACCGAACAAGAAAGAGAGATCGTCATGTCTTGTAAACGATAATCCTCCACCGTTCAAAGACATTCCTGATATCGACACTGACACAATGCTAAGGGTTATCAAAGATCTGCAGAACTCTCTTATTGACAGTAGTAAAACACCCCCTCAATACCCCCCTGATATGGACATGATTACCGGACCAGCTATGGACGACATGGAGCAGCATTTACTTGAGAATGGTTTACCGCTTCTCGACATGCCCCCCAATTCCTCATTACATTTGACCAAGAAYTTTTGCTCTGAGCCGGCCAGCATACACGAAATACATCAGGGGTTTCAACACCAAGTACCTGAATCAATTTTCCGATATACTGACAATATAATGAATGGTTTTCCTGTTATTGCSCCTCAGAGTTGTGTCGATATGCAGCAGTTAAGTGAAAGAACGCCTATCGCTCGAAATATGAGAACAGAGAATGTACGACAGCCAAGTGACAATAAAAGATTAAACATGGACGAGAATTCCTTGGCTGATTTTGTCCCTCTACCGCTAGTAGAAATTGAAAACATATTATCGAATGACGAACACGCGTGCTCAGTGACATCAAACAGTGCGTCGTTAAATTTTGCCGAGCCGATGGATATGAGCCCGCGATGTCAATATACGAATTATTTCAATGTTAACCAAATGGATCAATTTTATGGCGGGTCAGCGGTCCAAGTTTCACGGCCTGAAAACGAGCTTGTTGCTATTTCCATGGATTGCAACACAGACTTCCCTGGCCATGTAGCGTTAGATGATAGGGTCCACCCAGCTAGATAATCATGGAAAGTGGACTGATATTACTGATATTACAACAGTAACGGACTAAACAGTTATAAGATAAACAAAGAAATTACTAATGGACGACATCGGTTTTCTTTTACGAATCCGTGTATGATGTTATGTCATTCTTCTAAAGCATGGCTTACACATTCCAAGGAAGTAAAAAAAATGTGTTTTTAACACCGTTTCCAATACACCAGCAGCCGTGTCAAGGAAGGAAAGCATGCTGGGTAATCTCCTGACTTGTGATGGTTACACTAAATGTCTCCAAACACGAACGACGGAACATGAATTTCTCTGACAAAGATTGCTTATTATTTCGACATTTTGTGTTTGAAATAAGATGTGCTTATCAAAACCAGCTTACTTGCCACTGGCCTGTACATGGTAGAGTGAAACAAAAAAACAACAAAAAAACCGTGAAATATATATTACTCTGCGGTTTTTGTTTCACATTTGGCTGAAACTGTATATTCGGCTGGCTGGACCAGAATCTTTACTTTCTTCTTTCATACGCTTACGTGCTCCTTCACACTGCTTTTTAAAAATTGTGCTTTGTTATCAATGGAATTGCTGCAATTCCCTGCTGTATTATRTACTGTGAATCACATTGAATAATGCTAATGCTGGCTGTCATTTGCAAACCACGCAGTGAAAATTCCCGTGAACGGATTATTCCTTTTGTTCCCCTTTCGTTACTCTATTTTCACGTAACTTTGTGGTTACGTCTAAGAATTCTGCCATATACCATCCTTTTATTTGGGGCCTTTAGTATTATAGAGGTTGGTGGTCGGTTGTGAATGTATCGCTGGGTTGAGGAAAATCGCCGATTTGGCATCGTGAAATATTGCATTTAAAACAATATCGAAAATTAACGGTTAATATGGCTATTCTCATCTTTTTAGCGGCGGTTGACGTGGAAAAACTTTTTGCGGTATGACAGCCACCTATGTATTATATCACTCGTCCACAAACAATATAATCTTATTAAAATAAGTAAATATGCTAGAATATTACACAGTATTTTATTAACTAGCCAATGTAAATGCAATTAATTATAATGTATAAAGTTAGTGCATTTTCCAAATATAATTAAAAAACGTTCCAACGGTGCAAAACAGTTTGGTTAGACAACCATTGGCTAGCATTRTAGTAATAATRATGGGGATGATGTAATGTTGTTRACTGTCGGGAAGCAACGATATTTCCCCGAAGCGATCGTTATTCCGAAGGGCTGCCGAAGCTGTCGCTGAGAAAAGYGAGAATAAGTCTCCACGTTATCCACACTAAAACGCAAGCTCGGGAGCAACAGATCTGGTGCCGTGCGGTTCTCTGACTTCTGTCATCAGAAAATGACATGAAAGCTTGCATAATGGTTGGGGGGGGAGTAGCCTCCGTCGTTTCTCCAGCTTTTTCCTTTTTTTCAGTTATAAGAAAAGATATGACCAAAATGCACTGTTACCTGTGGAGAAGGCTAGGTTTCATGGTAATTCGGTAGGAGTTGTAGAATGTTATGGGGTATAATTAAAGAATCTCAACCAACCACAATAAAGCGCGCGCTCGTGTTATTGTTTACATACGTTTAAATGCGTCAAGCATACAATAGATTATAGATTGATAGTACCTGTGAGGTACTATAAAGGTATTTCTGTCCAAACTGAAAGGATGGAAGACGATTCGCGCTCACTTTAAGAAATCCTACGAATCCGCCATTTTCGTGTACACCTGATGGCTCTTCGGCTCGCAAGGTACGGCGGTTGGTTGTGATTCTTTAAAACATTCCAAAACGCCAGGATCTGCCACTTCTGATAACACAGTTTTACTGAATAACCATTAGTCTATCAAATGACTTCCTCACGATTGCCATCAGGACACTCACTAGATAGATGAGGGGGGAGGGGGAGTGTGTTTTTTTGTACCGTCTTTCCCTATCTTTCTGTTCTTCCATAACCAGTTTCGCTAATAAATCAACTGCACAGATCAAACAAAGCTTGCTCTTTTTTTAAATAGTATTACTTTATTCCAAACCTGCTATATATCTATCATTCTAAAACTAGACAACATTGCAGTGATCATTCATAGTGATAAACTAGCACACGGTCGTGATCAAAGACCAGCTCTCAATGCCGTGCGTACCACAAGCTTATAAAACACTGAATGAAAAGATATTAGCAATGTATGCTGACAAACAATCGACCAGTACTATGTAATTCACTGAGTTCCATTTGAATTGATACGAACATACAAAGGTGGTAATAAATGTCAAAAGTTTTAAAAACTTAAAAATACAAAACCTATCTTCAATTTCTATATAAATATATATAATTTACAAAAGCCTTGTATTGTCAGCCCATTTCAACCATGCATATTTGACGTGCAATGTAGCTATGACCAATCTTACTCAAGGCAACGGAAAGAGTATTAAGAGAACAAYGKTCAGGATAGCAATCCCTCCAAGCTATGAGCATCTGATATGCCTGCTCTCGRACGCCTTGCTGCTTGTAGTCTTCCTCTATCTCTTTCAACTTGTTCTCRTTTACTTTCAATATTCTACCAAGTTCTTTCCACTTTCCCAATACTTTGCCAGTGACTTCATTAAATTTATCTTCCATTGAAATGTCGTCGGGAAGTTTTCTCTTTCGATTGTTTCTACAGGAGCACTGTTGGTGGTTGGGATTTGATGATGAAGATTCTGAAAATAGAATTGACAGTCATCTATACCTACTACAATGAACCAGTTGGTTTTGTTAGTAATGCCTTTACCTCGCATGTCTCTAAACACAATAATATTTATATTATATTTTATTATTATTTTATTATATTTTATTATTATTTTAATATTTATATTATATTTTATTATTATAGAGTTTGCTGAAGAAGGCCGAAGTGCCGAAACGTTCGAATAAAGAGTAGAAATACTAGTTGCAAGTTGTGTGCCTTTTTCTTCAATTTATTCACAATTATATTTAAATGTATAGTGTTGGCTGAACCTTCTATTCCTTTTAAGCAGTTTCGTATAAATAGTGCTTAGAAGAAGGTTACTCTGGGAGAAAGACTCTTAGAAATAAATTCGGACAAATTCATTTCCAACCTCGCTCTACCAGCTGAGCTACAAGGTCACACTGGGACTGTGTAMCGGCACGGATCCCAATACAAAGAGCACACGAAATAATGGAAAAAAATTACAAAGAATAGTTTAGATATTCTTGTTGAATGGTCCCTCAAAAAAGAACTGGAGACGAGGCTCCAAGGAAACGAAAGAATTGTTCCCTATTGCTTCCCATGAGCCTCGTTTCAATTTTGTTARTGCTTATTCAACCGAAATACCAAATGTAGGCCATTGAAAATATTTAATATTTCTCGAGCTAAATTCAATTCCAATTTATTTCTACTGTATATTTCAGAAATTACAAGTATGAAAATGATCTATGAATACTTTAATGTTTGATGAACGACAGCTCAAGGAGCGGGGGTTTTCTAGTTGGCTGTCATAATTGTCAAATAAGGGTCGTGAGCAAGARAGAAAAAGAAAAAAGAAAGAAAAAGGAGATAAAGAACAGAAAAACACCAAATATTAAAAACAGTAGTATTACATGTTAGTCCTTGTTTGTCAATGTGATTTGCTGGAATGTTTATGTAGCTTTCAAGTACATTTATCTTAATACAATACATACCTACAGACACAGAGCTCAAAGTACTACCAGCAGACTTCATGATGTGGGGAGAAGTTTTATATTGACCAATACTATACATAGCAGTGATAAATTCATGCGGCTGCCCCCCACGACGCTTGTAGTTGGCCAGCAACTCMGTCATAGGGTCTGCACTCGCTGCAATCTTTGCTATCTCTGCCTGTGTGTAGCGCAATGCATGGGCAATATCCTCCCACACTTCATCACCCATGTCCCGTTGGTTCGATATCGTTACCAAAGCTGGAAGAGAAACCACATATGAAAAAGAAGAAACAAAAAAATAAATTTAATTATCATTATGAAACATTAGTTATACAGTAATCAATACATCAAAAAAGCAATTATTAAAATAGTCTATTATCCTTTCATTGCTACACCATAAAACAGATTAAAAAAAACATAAAACATAAAAACATACATGTAAAACATAAAACAGAAAACAGATTGTTATTTAAGATTGAGAGTGATTGGTCTGGGTCCAGGTATAAGCAATGTCGGTGTAACTATAACTTACAGTCTTTTTCAAGACTTCTCACAACTGGACGATCATAACACACCTACATTATTTATTTAAGACTTGTGAAAATCTTTTCAAAAACATCTCCACATGTTCTTAAAATACAATGTCAAGTTATGGTACTTACAACCAAGGTGTTGACATGTTACAAAATACACTCAGTTACATCAATAATATAAACAACTGATCATGAACTTACCAGCTAGCTCTCTACTCAGATGAACATCCCATGCATGGGAACTTTGAAAATGAACAGCATCTCTTGGCTACAGGGGAATTAAAGAGAACAATTATGNACCATCAACAACACCATCAACACCTACACCACTATCAACACATACATGTACACCACTATTAACACATACATGTACACCACTATCAACACATACATGTACACCACTATCAACACATACACCTACACCACCATCAACCCATACATGTACACCACCATCAACAACACCATCAACACCTACACCACCATCAACACCAACCCATCGACAACACCTACATGTACAGTTGCATCAACATACAATCAACACTTACGCCACCATCAACACCTACACCAACAACACAACCATCAACAACACATACTTATCATCACCACAATCAATAACACCATCAACAACACTAATACCATTACCACATCAACAACACCATTAGTCCAGAACTGGACCCTCTTTTCTCAATTACTATGTTATTATAAGTAATACCATGGAACGAGGGAAATTAGTGATTAAATTTCCCCGAAACCGAGGGAAAATTTTGCTTTTACAAATTTTCCCGAGGTATCGGGGAAATTTAATCACTAATTTCACGAGTGACATGGTATTACTTTGTAATACTATTATCGGCGAGGAAGTAAGAAAACATCTTTGATATCATGTTCAGTTTTCTAGTCAAGGAAGCGTAAACAACGCCGCCAAAACGCATAACTAGCTCCTTAGCGTATTGTACACCTAGGACACCTAGGCTTGATAATGATGTAATCAAACAATAGTTTTCAAACACATTASTTTGTCTTCATTGTGTAATTGATTCAACATTTGTTCGTTAGTACTATTTCATACACTTGTTTTGTACAAAAGGGTACAAAAGATATTTATATTGCAGAATTAAAATTCGTATACAATGCTCAAACAACATGTCTGAGAGGTTTTCGTTTAGAACAGACAGCTAAGTTCAATAAATTAAGATTGATTATATCAGTTTTGCTGTATTTTAATAACGCTATTTCTTTCGATGCTTCATTTCGAGTTGGCAAAAGTGTAAGTGCAATGTTGTGCTATAGCAAACGATTTTAAACAAGTGATTTTTTATTATATTTTTTATGTGACTGCGAATAAATCTGTCATAGACATTTTCGTTTTTTTTAACTAAGTGCACAGGCATGCGCAGTTAGGTAAACAATGTCCCACATGCAAGACATGCTAGTGCCATATGGTGTAGGAGACCTGTTTTCACTAGAAATTCTTTTGAGGGGTATCTAGTCTACTATATTTTCATTGTGCACGGCATTAGGGAAGTATAGAAGGCAAAGGAACTCCAATTTTCCTCATGAATAACATGAGGGAAATTTAGAAGACAAAGGATTCTTTTGGCTACAGGGGAATTAAAGATCACAATTTATTATGAATGATGATCACTGACAGTAGCTATCAACATTCTAATCATGTCAATCAAAATCATCATCATCATCACTACCACCATCAACACTAACACCAAGCTAACACTAAATGTACACCACCATCAACAACACCATCAACACCCCCACTACCATCAACACCACCATCAACACATACATGTACACCACCATCAAACACACCATCAACACCAACCCATCAACAACACCTACATGTACAGCATCATCAACATACAATCAACACTTACGCCACCATCAACACCTACACCAACAACACAACCATCAACAACACATACTATCATCACCACAATCAATAACACCATCAACAACACTAATACCATCACCACATCAACAACACCATTAGTCCAGAACTGGACCCTCTTTTCTATGTTACTATTATTATATAAATTGCCCACACTAAGAATACAGAGCTAAAGATAATAGCTGGCCACAGACAATATTATTTATCCAAATTGACATTTGACAGGGCAAATCACAAACATCCATTATTTTGTCTCATCAAATAGCAAAAGTTGTGACAATTTTCATGTTCAAACGTAGACGAAGCAGTGTTTAATCGAATATGACTCCTACGTACAGAGAAATCTTAAATTTTCATGTTGTTTTGTCATCGCACATCAGATTAATATCCCTACCTTATCCAGGTTGAAGGAAAAGATATTTAWTGGTGTACTGCCATTAGAAGGCTGTTCAATTTCTACCCTCCCAAAGCTTCCAAATTCAGGACTTTTATGCTTGAACCTACAGATGAACTGCACAACTATTTGACGCCCTGTAAAGTGTTCTTCATGAATCAAGTTTTCTTGTCCAGCTGCTACATCYGCTTCAAATAGTCCTGAAATCACCCTAAACACAACAATAAACAAACTTGAAAAGCCTGCATTTTACAAAACAACGATACAATCATTACCATTCTCAAACGATGATAATGCTGTTACATTATTGTAGCTTGTAAAATAAATCATAGGAAATATGGGTTTTGGTTCAGAAATTCTCAAGATAACAATCGACTTGGAAAAGCATTTGAAATCTTATTACCTTATCAGTAAGGGTCCAGTGCTGATCATTTTAGGTGGGTGACTGCCAATAGGRATTGGGAAATTCCCAATGCCTTCCAAAGGCTTCCCAAATCTATTGCATGAAATGCACAATCCAAATCGAACCCCATCCTCACTCTCAGACATCAAAGCTTGGCAAGAAACATAGAACTGAAATACTGGTAGATAGTGAGATGCACCTAGTTTGGCCTCATAKAGAACAGCATCAAGAACATCCCACAATACTCTGAAAAATGTGAAATGTTCCACAGAGAARTACACAGAACACAAACTGTTATCATCAACATCAATAGAAAATGTCTTGGGAGTAAACTCTTGCCAGTTAAGTTCTTCATTTTCAAGTGTTGAGCTGTACCAGAATGTAAGCTTCCTGTCRCCATACATCTCAATGATGTCGTTGCCATTAGGTAAGGGTAGTCGCACTGTTACAAGATCATTACTTGACATGTCAAACTCACAACCATGAGGACCAAGTTCAACTACTGGTGCGGCTAATGCATGGGAATTAGGGTCACTATGGTCAACATCATAAGGATCATCAGAATACAGCACTTTGATAGATGCCTCAATGTCATACAGTAATGAAGTCTCAGGGAAGTTCACTTCTACACCAGGAACTTCTTTGACATATAGACATCCTCCAATTCCTTTCTTAATAAGCCYCTGTGCACTTGGATACTGCTTGTGTGCAATGACAGCAAAAAGACTGAAATGCTGGGCTCTGATTTCTACACGGTTTTCATGAACTGTGTATGATGACTTCTCCATGGGTTTCCATTTTGGTTTTTCACCTATTCCTGTATCACTACACCAACATACAATCTGTTCTTTACACATGACTTGAACATCATATGGCATACTAATGACAGCTGGATCTGACTTGTAAAACAATGCACCATGAGGTTCCATCATTAATATCTCACTAGCCAATGCCTCACGTGCTTTTAAAGGTGGCTCATAAGAAAGATCCTGGATGATTTCAAGGAAGAACTCGGACTGGAAATGACCAGAGASATTACATTCTGGGATGATGACGCAGATGTCTCCACATGTGATGTGGCGCGTGCTTGGAGGAGGTAASTCAGTATCACTGAAGTCAGAATAATCACTGCAAGCTATGGATGCTTGTAAACTAATAATACTGTCTGTACTGTTCTCACTGCAGTCATCATCAGGATATGGTAAAGTAAATGCTGATATTGAACCATATTCACTTGTCTCCATATGCCGGTTGTAATTATCCCTGATCCCTGAGTCAAGACTAAGATCRGAAATCCTCCTGGACCTTGTAAAAGATGTTCTTTTGATGGGCCGTTGTCTCARGTAATCAATATTCATTCTACGCATCTCTTGGCTGATTTTAAGTTTTTCCTTCAAGTCCCTTATCAGCTGCAACTCACATTTCTGTGACTTCTCCACTTCTGAAACCACTTGCAAGTGCCTTACAGAGAAGCTATCCTCCCTTAGTGAGCATTCATCAGGTGTTTTGATGGTATCTTTGTACTGGATATTGGGAGGATTTGGAATTTGCTTCTCATTGCTCAACAATCTTCTTGAAACACTGTTGGTTTGACATGTACTACCATCATCATTACACTCTTCATGGATACTAATGTCAACATTAAAGTACTCCCTSAGGGCCTTAAGACCTTCAATATAAACTTCCCTTGGTACATTTCCAATTGGATTACATATCAAGCGAAGACTGGTTAGCTTAGGAAGGCAGACAATGAACAGAGGGATTTCATCAACCTCATTCCCAGAAATATTAAGCCATTCCAGTTCAAGAAGCCTGCTGAATACTTGAGGTATACTACTGATTTTGTTATGTGCAAGACCAAGTCTCTTAAGCTGACCAAGGCAACTCAATTCATCTGGAATACATTTGACTTTGTTATGCTGAATATAGAGTTCTCTTAGGTTGACCAGTAAGCAGAYTTCTTTTGGTATTTGTGTAAAGTCATTGTAGCTTAACTCCAAGTACTGTAGTGTGTTGAGTAATGGTTTCTGGATAACAGCACAAGGGAGAAGACACAAGTGATGTCCACGGAGGTCAACACTAGATCCACATGACTTCTTGGCATTAATCAGGGTCTTGTCCTTCTGTGTCAGTCCAAATGGACTTCTCATGTCGTCCCATTACCTAAGATAATAATATACAACCTATTAGCTAAAAAGTACTGAGAACTAGAGAGATTGCAAGTAATGTAATCGTTGTCTTACAGCATGATAACTCAATTTCAAGTCTYCTCACTAAAAATAAACTCTCAAAGAAACTCTGAAAGTTCATCTGTGAATGTTTGAATTATAGTAAAATCTGTCAAGTAAAGTATGAAGGCTTGATGGATAGGAGTAAATACACTGAATGGCAGTTAGTATAATCAAGTGTTGGAATTTCCATATGTACAAAACTACAGCAATATTACTTGTCGATAAAGTCCCAGCTAGTAGCAGGACATTTCAACAAATTTCAGACTATGTACAGATAATACAATTTAAGTACAAATCCATTGAAATCAATTGCAATGCATACTTTTGCAAAGCAAAAATCGAAGAATTAGGACTACAAAAAAATTGAGTTAAATTTTCAACAGAAGAACAAATTTTTGCAAACAAAAGAACAAAAATGCACACCTGATGAGAAACTCTTCGGACCGATGGAAAATTATTATAAAATGTAYTATCAAAACTAATGTAAGCACTTAGTACTATTTGATTGAGGACTGAATGAGTATTTTTTAATTTTAGATTCCATTGCCGTCTTAAACAACTGCTGGAATTAGGTTCTTTCCTAAAAAGTAAATAGAACGCTCAAAATCTGCCATGTGTTGCAAAGCTAGTTTGAAAGTGAAAGCAGGTCTATTTACGGTAAAAACCCAAACATATCATAACCATAACACTGAAGCTAATTGGTCAGAAGGTCAGTTAGCTTTAGCGCGAAAAGATTTATGAAAAATCAATCAAAACAATTGAGTTCAACTCGAAAGCTCACGATGACATGTGTCGGGGTTTCAACAATGCATGAAATATTTTCCACGCTATAAAGCAAACTATTTGAGATCAATGCGAAATTACAATTAGCACTAATTTTTCAAGGGTTTAGATATCTTTCTTACCTAAGAACAACAATGAAAAAGTCTCTTMTGCAGCCAGAAAAGTTCGGAAAGTTTCATTACTTAGTCAACGTGGTTTTGTTGTTTGTTGCATTCAGCGGACAGGCTTGGGCACGCGCACTTTACTCACAAAGGTTTCCATGGTTACATTAATTGTTTGATCCAGCGACTTCTCGGATAGTACTTCATGTAGAACTTCCTTAGATGGCACTAATACACGTATTGGGGTTAGGCTTAGTGCTTTTACGTGGTCTTACTTAGTACATGAAAAAAACTAACCTACCTCTCGGGCAAGATTAAATTCTGTTTGTTACTTTTCAATGTTTTTCCTTTTTTGCTCTTTTTTCACTAAACCTTTCTGGACTTCCTTCTAGCCCAGAGTTTGCCTGCAATAATTCCCACTAGACTGTGCAGTTACATCCAGGATTTTCTCGAGAAAAATTCCGGCTGTGACACAGGCTAACTTGTGATTTTAGGTTTTTACTAGTATTTTCATATATAATATTCTAGTCTTCTTATAGAATAAGGTGCCCATGCACCCAAGAACCTTTGCGGTCGTTGTTTAAAAGCTGCTTTCTAAATGAGTGGCTAGGCTGCCTGTGTTAGAAGACGCATTAGAGAGAAAATGGTGCTCATAACTACACGAAAAAAAACAATGGTGATTCAAAAGGAAATTCAGCTTTAGTTGCAGATTTAGTACAAATTTGTACTATTTGTTATTTTTGTTCAAACGATTATGTGCGGTTCATTAGATAGTTTAGAATTAAATGCGCAGGAAAATATTAAATACAGATCAAAAAACAAACCAAAACAACTCTATACACTTTAATGAAAAAGACAAAAATCGACACTATTGTTCAAAAAGATGATTACAAATAAAGACAAAATACTAAATTGATTGATAACAGAAGTTCACTGCACTTGTAGCTATACTATATACATACAAATCGACATTGCCAAAGTCAGTATAGTTCAGTTCCATGCTGCAGTTTCTCAAGCCCTCTCTCCACGAATTCTTCTGGCAAGTTGAATGTCTTTAGGCATGATTGTCACTCGTTTGGCGTGGATAGCACATAAGTTTGTGTCCTCGAAAAGTCCAACAAGGTAAGCTTCKGCGGCTTCTTGCAGCGCCAGCACGGCAGAGCTTTGAAACCTCAAGTCRGTCTTGAAATCTTGCGCAATTTCACGTATCAGTCTCTGGAATGGCAACTTTCGAATGAGCAGCTCGGTGGACTTTTGGTATTTTCTGATTTCTCGAAGCGCTACTGTACCAGGTCGATATCTATGTGGTTTTTTGACGCCTCCAGTCGCTGGAGCGCTCTTTCTAGCAGCTTTYGTCGCGAGTTGCTTTCTTGGAGCCTTTCCACCGGTTGATTTTCTTGCAGTTTGCTTAGTTCGCGCCATTTTAAGTTCGGACTTTTGACCTGTGTGCTGGTGGTTGTTAAAGAAAGAAGCGTTTTGAGTCAGCGTCTYTTTGATATTTATTTCATTTTTAACATACATTCTCACGGGCAGGTCATGGTATCCCAAAAATGTWCARTGTTGTCATTTTACTAAGGCTATCAAGGCACTTCCATTCTTATTGTGATTTTTATTCCCTTTGGAGACTGGAACAACAATTTCCATCCACTAATTACATCATMTGTATTTTACACAACTATTTCACCGTGAAAAATATTTGRTAAGGCGATGCGTTCAATGAAAATGACTTTTTACCAGACTTCTGTTAATTCTCGCTGGCTGATTGGCTGATAGAACTTTTCGCGGTTAAAACCAAAAACAAAGCGCRAAAAGGGTTATTAGCATGCATGCATCACGCCTCAACGTCATCATGTTAGTTGAAAGAAAATAATATATTTTTAATAATTTTTAGATTTACAATGTGTTAAATATGAACACGGTTCCATTGTAACTCATGACGTCAAGAGTGTGTCAATAAGAGGACATACAACTCAAAACCGCGCGTAATTTGTTGAATGTAGGTATAAAACAATACAACCATCATGTACGTTTTCAACCCGTAGATTCCAAGCGCGGGCTCAAATTCTCCAGTTATCAGCTTGTTGGATCATATTTGGGTGTGGCGATTTGTGAAATCAGCTTTGCTTGATTATTATCTGAGATACATTGTTCTTCAAAGTTTCGCATCATTTCCAAAAATTGTTTTTCTTAAAATGTACTGAAGTTATAAGTACATGTTAGCGTAATTTAATGTACAACTTTGTACAAATTGAACACTTCAGTATTTTATTGATGTCAGCAGTGCACTTCTCCATATATGGATCTCATTCAGAACGCCTTCATTGCTTCTTGAGTGACTCCTGTCGTAGAAAAAAATTGAGAGAAGCACTTTATGATTTTCAAGGTATATCAAGTGCAATTTTAGGTAGTTTTAGTGATACGATACCTCTAAATGTCGCAAGAATGTAGTGACAGTCCCAAAAAACTGTTCATTTGTAATGGTTGTCCCTCGTCCTTCACCAAAGAACTCCAGGGTCTCCTCCAAGCTTGTTGYAGCTGTATTTCTCAGTGCAATAAGAGACTGAAACTTCTGATGGACATGCTCTACAAATACCTAGTTCTTGATAAGGAAAGATAAACTTATGACTGGTGCAAAGATGATTACCTAAGAATCAATTTGTTGCCGAATTTTCCAAAACATTTTCGGTCGAGATAGTTGGTGGATTGTTTGATTTGGTGTTTGGCTGTTTTCCACAGTTTGATTTTGATTCTTTGTTTTGGTTAGATCGTTGGTTATAAAGGATACTCTAACGTTTTCTTTGAATGTTGTWTCAAGTTCTTTGCTGTTGTTGATCTTTTTGACATCATTATCAAGCACCTGCAATTGATCAACATTAGACACGTGACATAGAATCGACATCAGTSAATATCACGTGATACCTTTAATTCTCCGCTAAGTTCATTGATCTCGAATTCCAAGTGTTTGAAATTAACTKYAAAACAAAATGCAAATGAGTTCATTCAATTCATCACTTTTTAGTASGTTTTTTTCATGTCGTGCATGCGTTGGGGATCTGGGAGCGAAGTTCCATTGATTACACTCACTTTTAGCAGCYGCATTGACATGTGACAATTCTTTGATCATTTTGATCATGTTTGGATGCGAAGCCTTGAAACCTTTCACAATGAAATCTAAAAACGTTGTCTTCTTATCTACATTTGATTTGATGGATATCAGCTAAAAACARCAAAGAGATTGAGATGACAGATGATGATGACAATATTGATAATAATAAAAAACATGATAATGATGACAAAAATAATCTTGTAAACACTTGATGATGTTAGGTTTAGGATAGAATGTTTTAAAATAGATGGTGATAAAAAAGCGATCACAGGTGAATCAATAGGTGTGAATGGTAGAAGGGTCCCGATATCATTTAACACTGAGCTAAACGTTAAATTTTTGTGGCCAATCGGAAACTATTAATTATTATGTTGGCTATTAAAAAAAGTAATTTTACTTTAAAGTAATTCACCTGACAAACCTATTTGTTTTTTAGCATCTGCATGCCAGCCATCACATAACTCACGTGTTTTGCTAACGCCTCGGACTGGAACTAATTGCGCGGACTTGAAACCCCGTCCAGTCCTCATTGTCGGACTTTAAACATTACTTCAAGAGTGATTGTCAGAGAAAACAGGACAGGGTGATAATTGGTGATAACGATAATCACTTAATCACTGACATACGTAACATTAATCAAGTGGCTCGTCTACCTTGCCAAGGAACGAAATCTTGAATCCACGTGTTTTACTTCTGTTCATGAAGTTGCCAACTGTCAACACAAACTATGAAAACAAGAATATGTAAAATAACTTTAACTAGGTGCTTTGGGTGTTTTTTGTATTATTTCTCTATTACCTGGAGAAATTCTCTTAAAAGACTGCTCTGTCGAACTTCATCAGACGCAACAATGATAGTCTGAAGATGCTGCATATAAGAAAAGACTTCAGTGACCATAACAAACGTTGACAAAGATAGATCTTCTCGTTTATAACATCACACCTAGAAAACGCCATATAGTCCTCTTTTGATACTCTGTCTAGAGGCTTCAACATCACTGGGAAAAATGTATCACCCTCGATCCTTTTGTTCTTATGGTGCTCATCAATATTGCGGCAAGTAGATTATTATTTATCTATCGCCAACAAATCCACTTTGATCTCAGGATAGCAATATATGGGGCCAGCTACGCAGGCTACAATATATGATGATCGCATGAATACAACACTTCTACTCACGAACAGTGCGCAATTAAGAGCACAACAGAGTGAAGAAATAAAATACGATTCTTACCGGCTGAATGTTGTTGATTCGCTCTTGTAGCTGGGCTTTCAATAGCATGGTCCTCAGTCGCTCCTTGTACGTCGGTATTTTGGAGATGATCTGGGAACATTGTACACCAATACCAATTAACATGTTACGTCACAATGCATGTCATGTTACATCACAATGCAAGTGATGCACGTCCCAATGCAAGTTATGCCATTTCACAATGCATTTCATGTTACGCCACGATGCAAGTGATGTCACATTACAATGCAAGTGATGTCAGACAGGTCACGTCACAATGCAATGATGTCACGTTACAATGCAAGTGATGCAATGAGTCACAATGCAATGATGTCACGTCACAATGCAATAATGTCACGTCATAGTGCAATGATGTCACGTTACAATGCAANAATATTGATAATAATAAAAAACATGATAATGATGACAAAAATAATCTTGTAAACACTTGATGATGTTAGGTTTAGGATAGAATGTTTTAAAAAATATATATATAGATGGTGATAAAAAAGCGATCATAGGTGAATCAATAGGTGTGAATTGTAGAAGGGTCCCGATATCATTTAACAGCTAAACGTTAGCAGTTTAAATTTTTGTGGCCAATCGGAAACTATTAATTATTATGTTGGCTATCAAAAAAAGTAATTTTACTTTGAAGTAATTCACCTGACAAACCTATTTGTTTTTTTAGCATCTGCATGCCAGCCATCACATAACTCACGTGTTTTGCAATGAAAGTGCATGAACATTTCAAGAGTGATTGTCAGAGAAAACAGGACAGAAAACAGGACAGGGTGATTTTAATTGGTGATAACGATAATCACTTTCAAGAATCACTGACATACGTAGCATTAATCAAGTGGCTCGTCTACCTTGCCAAGGAACGAAATCTTGAATCCACGAGTTCTACTTCTGTTCATGAAGTTGCCAACCGTCAACACAAACTATGAAAACAAGAATATGTCAAATAACTTTACAGGATACCTAGTATGAGGTGCTTTGGATGTTTTTTGTTTTATTCGTCTATTACCTGGAGAAAATCTCTTAAAAGACTGCTCTGTCGAACTTCATCAGACGCAACAATGACAGTCTGTAGATGCTGCATATAAGAAAAGACTTTAGTGACCATACCGTTGACAAGAGATAGATCTTCTCGTTTATAACATCACACCTAGAAAACGCCATATAGCCCTCGATCCTTTTGTTCTTATGGTGCTCACATCAATATTACGGCAAGTAGATTATTATTTATCTATCACCCACAAATCCACTTTGATTCAGGATAACAATATATGATGATCGCATGAATACAACACTTCTACTCACGAACAGTGCGCAATTAAGAGTACAACAGAGTAAACAAATAAAATACGATTCTTACCGGCTGAATGTTGTTGATTCGTTCTTGTAGCTGGGCTTTCAATAGCATGGTCCTCAGTCGCTCCTTGTACGTCGGTATTTTGGAGATGATCTGGGAATGTGCACACAATACAATTAACATGTTACGTCACAATGCATGTCATGTTCAATCACAATGCATGTCATATTACGCCACGATGCAAGTGATGTCACGTTACAATGCAAGTGATGTCAGACATTTCACGTCACAATGCAAGTAATGTCACGTCACAGTGCAATGATGTCACGTCACAATGCAAGTGATGCACGTCACAATGCAAGTGATGTCACGTCACAATGCAAGTGATGTCACGTCACAATGCAAGTGATGTCCGTCACAATGCAATGGTGTCACGTCACAATACAAGTGATGTCACTTCAGAATAGAAGTAATGTCAATGGAACAATGTAAGTCCTGTTACGTCAGAATGCAAGTCACTCCATGTCATAATTATGTTACGTCATAATGTAAGCGATGTCATCATGTCACGACGAAGTCATGCTGCATTATAAACAACTTATTTCGCGTCACAATGTCATGTCACGTTAATGTATGAGTCAATTCCAAAGTTGCCCATCCCCCCCGGGCGAACCCCCGGGCATTTGACTTTTTGGAAAAAAAGTGGTCAAATTCCCCACCATATGGGCAAAATTGACAGTCAAATACCCGCACTAGTAAAAGTCAAATGCCCGCCCCATAAGTCAGTTTTTTACGCTAGTTTTCGAGTGTTTTTGTTGCTTTTTATATCGTGATTTCTCATCGTGAAAGTACAAAAGATCGAGAATGTTTGTAAGCCTCGTGGCTGCTAATAGCGATCGGTAAAAATACTGCCATGTGAAATAGCGCCTTTGAACTGTAAGGATATCGGCGCCTTATAAATAATACGTATTATTATTATTAAAATGCTTAGGTTGCCGAGATATTTGTCACGAAATAGCGGTTTCGCATCTGAATCGATAATTTCCAAGATGACCGCCTACTCGTCAAATGCCCGCTCGTCTGCACCTAAATCAGAGTCAAATTCCCCACTGTACGGAGGTACAGTCGTGTCAAATGCCCGGGGTTTGCCCGGGGAGGGGGATGGGCACCTTTGGAATTGACTCATACATTAGAGTTGTCTTGTCACATCGCAACCATTGTCATACCACATCGATGTTATGATGCAATATCAAAATCGATAGTGCAACAGTCGATATCTGGTTAAACTTGACGTCATGACATAAAACGTACGCCATGTAAATGGCATCTGACCGTGGTACATGTGACAGACTACATGAACGTCAAAATCTTTATCATATTGATCATGATAAAGATTTTGACATCACAATGTATATCAAGTAATTTTTGTCATTTTATATAATGTCACGTGACTTGTCAATCAGATGAGCCTATTTCATGTCACGTGATATGTAGAGATAGTATATAGCCAAGGAGTCGCATTGTTTTTCAGAATATACTAATCCTGACATGCTCAGTAATGTCTTACCTTAAAGTAAAACCTTTCCACGTCACCGAATAATGATGGATCTGTTTTCCCTTGTTTTTTGAGAGCAGATTCCTGACCACAAAAGAAAATACCTCACAATGCACGCTGCGTAAATTACAGGGTTTCTTGTATTCTTATTGGTATAGAGATACAATCTTTGAATTAAGAGAAATGACGAACGAATCTCTGTGACGATGCAAGTCACGTCAAAGGCGCCATGTTAAAGGAGATTGTCTTGTCCCACTATCTAACATGGCGATTATCATTTTGTTTTTCATCCCCCAGTTAAATCATGGTAAATTGCTCACCAAGAATTGCTAGTAGTGATATTATTATACCATTTCTTACTTCTTTACAGACGTAATATCAATGTGTATTACCTCTATTTCATTTGGGGAAAATTTTAAGAGAGTCTCGAGTAAGTCAGTCGGTAAATCAGGTTTTCCAYACAACAGCGCAGCAATCACTTTGTCTGAAGGTAGTTTAGTGTGTGCCAGGCTGATYGCTGTGAATTAAGTGACATACATTATTATGTTAGTAATAAAACGTGTTCTATTATTGGTCAAGGATCGCGCATTCATGCACGAACCA